CAGTTATGATTCAGGATGACATTTCTATTTCTGATAGTAGTCCATAAATATGAGAATTGATTCTTCTTTGACTCAGTGAGACTCTAGCTTATGCTTAGGTAAACTTCAGCTTAAATCCTTCTCTGAATTAGATGAAAAGATATAGAAGACCTAAAAATAGTTTTATAACTAAAATGCAAGGTTGGGTTAAATGGTATGGAAAAGAATCAAGGAAGCAACCTAGTAAAGGAAAATAGTCTGTGTTGACCTCCATAGAGATGATTGCCATCTGGGAAGTTTGTAGTCCTAGAGTTGCTACTGGAAAATGAAAGTTGTCCTTGCCTCCCTTATTGTTGGGCTGTTCAGGAACACTAATGAAATGAAAATAAATTTGTACTGACTGCATATTGTGTTGTCGGTTTCCTGTAGTCAGTGTATATTAAATCAAGCTACAGTTAAACCGTATTAATGACTATGAATAAACAAAATAAATCAAAAATTAAAACTTTAACTGTGATTCAAAGCTTCAGTTTATTATTCTCTCTGAAAGATAACTCTCATATGTTTTGGTCACAACCTCAGGTACATCCCAAAGCATCATGTATCCATAAAATGTGGCTACCTTTGGTTCATAATGGGGGCTGGAGAACTGCAGCAGGAGGCAATCCTTGATAATCCAGTTAATGCCTTTCAGTCAGAAAGTAGCCACAGATATGAAAGTGGCAAAGGGCAGTGCTGAATTAATTGCAGTAAATCTTCTACGGGCAGGATTTCAGCTGTACAGCACTGGAGCCAAATTTACTTATTGTTCCTTCAGTAGTCTTAAAATGGGGTGGATTTGGCAGTGACTGGCAGACTGAGAGTTAGAGACAACAGACCAAATAAATCTGTTCTCTGAGGTCAGTAAACCAGCATCAGCAATGAATCTAACCTGCTGTGTCACTGAGTTCTGCTTAAGGATAGCTCAGGTTTACTACTGACATATTTGAAGGCAATGGTAATATTGGCCAATTAGTGGGCATTATGTTTGTAGTGAGTGAGGATAGAAATAGAAAATTTGGTTTGATTTCTAAATCTTACCTTCATCTGTTCACAGTGATCATTCTTAATTATGAGAATTTTGTTTCATTGCCATGCAGAAAGTTAAGCTGCATGAGTCATGGACCGAATGGTTTGCTCTTAATAAATGGAAGTAGATACGGTAATAATAAAAAAAAAAGAAAAAAAAAATCAGTTTGACTCCAAACCCATCTGCCTGTCTAGACAGATAGTGCCAAGCTCCTGTCTGCTAAGAAGTATCTTCTTAATAATGCTGTATTAATGCTAGTACTTTTATAGTACTTGCCATTTTTCAAAGTGCTGTGCCCAGCTAATTCATCGTTGGCTGGACTTAAGACGGCTTTCTGCTGAGTTTGATAGCATTTTTGTGTCTTGCTTTTCTGTTATGTGCTATTTTGAATGCCATGTCCAATCAATTAGGCAATCACAAGAATGTTTTAGGCATCAGTTCCCAGAGCTGGGCAATAATCCTTGTCCCTGTTCTTCCAGGGTTGCCTATTCATCTTTTCCTGGCAGAGACCATGTGTCTCCCCATTCCTCTTCCCTTTAAAAAAGTCCTTGTAGTGGCCAAATGCTTTGCACAGGCCTGCTTTCCTTACGACTGTTTTCCTCTTGAGTAGAACCCCATGGGGAAGGGGTGTGTGTGTGTGTGTGTTGGCACCTTTCCCTTCCCCACCTCTAATTTACCTGCTTCATGTTTGCTATTATTCTTCTGTGGTTTTTTCTTCCTCCCTTTGAAGGGCTTTCCCAAGCTAGTTGCAATTGTTCATCAAAGGTGAGAAACTGGAGCAGCAAAAGGGGTGTATAGATAGAGAAGAGAACAGAAGGCAGAACTTTGCACCTATTTTACCCCCTTCCCCAGCTGTGTGTCATTCTCCTCAGTGACTCTGACTCTTGCTCATACAGCTGGGTCCTGCCATCTCAATACAGAAAATGGAGAAAATGTGGGGAAGGTATATGGTATGAGGGGAAGGAAACTGCTTTAGAGGGAAGATGAAGAGATGCCTCTTGAAAGGGCTGTGGAAGAATAGATGGTTGGGAAATCCCTGGCCAATAGGTATGGTCCTAATAGGGAGAGGGGGAGAATGGGCCAAACTAGATATGAGAAGAGGAAAGGGGATGGTGTAACAGGAGCAGGCTGAGAGAGGTGTTCTGCAGTCACTGGAATGGAGAGGAGATGGTGTGTGGGAGCTCATGTCTAGAGCAGCAGGGTGTGGGGGGTTCAAAGCCCGTGTGTTCAGAGAGACTGCCAGTGTGTGGCATCCCACCCAAGCTGGTCCTGTTTTTAAATAAGCAGAATGTAGGGCTGCCTGACTTGCTGTCAGCAGGGCCCTTTGTGAAGGTGAGAAGGGACTGCCTTGGGCTGCACCAAGCCTGCTGTGTTGGGAGTGGAGATGAATGGAACTCAAATGGAACCATTTGCTCCTGACGTTTAGCTGTGAAGCACCACCTCCAGAAAGAAAAGAAAGTAGCAAAAATAAAGTTATTGTCCATAGCAAGGCAGGAGATCGGTCTCTTCTCGTGCTACCTGGACTTCTTATCCAGTGTCTTCCTTTTCTGTAAATGGACACTGTTAATTCCTGTGAAGTGCAGGGGGATCATTAACATTTCCCACCTTTGTAAGACGAGTATGGATTTAGGCTTGCTATAAATTACTGTAAAAACATTAAAAAAATTAAAATGCTGATTCATGGAAACCTAAGCTTCCTTGGTGAGTATGGATTTAGGCTTGCTATAAGTTACTGAAAAAAACATTAAAAAAATTAAAATGCTGATTCATGGAAACCTAAGCTTCCTTGGAGCTTCCTTCTGACAGAAGTCATGGCAGGTTGGGCAAAAAAACCACTTTGGAATTAGAAATTAACATTTGAAAATTAAAAAAAAAAAAATACTGTGTTGAGAGCCCTGAAACTTAGGCCTCTATTGGTAGCCCAGAGGTACCAGCTGCCTTTAATCCGTTGCGAAGATTTCTTGTTTGTAGGAGCAGCCTGTTAATACCATTTGATGCTTTGAGGTTAAATCAATGTGCTGGAAGCCTTCTAGAGCCTCAGATGAAAGATGCCATTACGTATGCAGAATATCCACAAAAGGGATCACAGAGCATAGTGTAACTGTGGGGTAAATCTGCCTGCTGTACTGCTCAAGGATGACATGGGTGGCTGGGGACCACTAATACTCCTGTGATGTGTCTGCATAAAAGTGATGTCAACACCTTTCTCTGTAATGGGCAGTGCAAGAGCTGCCAAAGATTGAGCTGGGAAATTCTTGCTGTTTTTTTCACAAATATTTCTTGAGTCTCCTAGTTTGCTTTTGAGACTCAGTTTGATTCAGAGCAAGTCAGTCCTTTTCTTACTTTGCTTTTGTTTTGTTTTTTGGGTTTTTTTTTTTTTTTCAAATCAAACCTTGTTAACTCTAATGTGCGACTTAGCTGTCAAGTCCATTCTCTTGTGATTTGTGATGGCTTCCAGAGCTCCTGGTGGAAAAGAGTATACAAGTCTTGTTATTTCAACTGTGTGACCAAAGGTATGCCCTCTCTTAGCTGATGGCATGCATTTTCCTTTTGAACTCTCCTTCTCAGGCACATTACAGTGTGCCAGATCTGCTCAACAGCACTCTGGCATAGCAGGTGAAGAGGGTGGTGTGTGGCTGGCTACAATTCCATGTGAAATACAGAACAGCACAGTTTTGCAGATCTGAGAAATGCTATGCTTCTGCCTACTGTCAAAACCTACTTCTCTTCTTAAATCCCCCAGAGATGCTGCTAATTAAAAGAGCTGTTCCCTGCCCCTCCCTCTCCCCTTGATTCATGTCAGAGCCCTGAGTATGATTTGGATCTCATAAGTTTTGGGAGCTCTTTAAATGCCCTATCTAAAGAGAGAATAAGCCTCATTTATCCACTTGGCTGTACCAGGATTGAAGGTGCAGCATCAGACCATGTTCATCTGTGGCTCTTCTGCAGCCAAGCCATCACTTCCCTTCCTGTGGTCAATTCCTCCTCCAGAAAAGAGCAAGTTCAGCTACTTCTGGTCCCCCAGAGAAGCAAATGAGCAGTGCCTCTGATTATGGTGATGCAGCAGTCTCAAACCCAGCAGCCACTCACTCCTGTGTGTATAGAGGGGAGAAGTCAGTTTTGTGCTCTAAGAGGAGCTATGTATTTACCACATTGGAATGGTGCAAGTAGGAATAATCCTCTCCCAAACTGCTTTTGTATGCACTACAAATTTTTGATGCTTTCTGACACGTGGCATGTTGTGGTCTGTACTGGAGTACAAACTTCAAAGTCATCTTTGGTTTTACATTATCCCTTTTGGATCAGGAGTTGATGTGCAACAGGACTTTTATTTTTTTACATTTTGGCAATCTTCTGGAGGGAAATACGGTTCATATTTTAAGAACATGTAGTTTGTCACTGAAAATTAAAATTGAAAAGACTGGTAACATGCACCCCCCTCATCAAAACCCCCACATGTAATTCAAAGCCAGACCTTGCCAGCTCACAGCTTGCTGCTCTTAAGTTGACAGGGAGCTTCTCAATCGCAGGGGTTTGCCTGAAACTGCTGCAGCTGTACTGATCTCTCTAAATACACGGATTCATTTAGCTGAGCCAAAAACCGGCCGAATCCCTCAGGTCACAGGTGGGGATCCCTGTGCTGGCGGGGTGGCTCTGTGCGATGCCCGGGGAGCAGCTTGCGGTGTAGGGCAGGGAGTAGGGCAGGCTGCCTCCACAAACCTGCTGGCATCCAGCTTCAGCCGCTCTCCCCTGCGTACAGTTCTTTTTTTTTTTTTTTTTTCTTTTTTTTTTTTTTTTTTTTTTTTTTTTTTTTTCCCCTTTCCTTTTTCCCTCCCTCTCGCCGGAGGAGCCTCGGCAGCCCTGATTTGCTGGGGAGCGGCGGAGGCTCGCTCTGGGCAGAGCCGGGCTGCGCTGCCGCTGCTGACGCGTGGCCGCCGCCGCGCCGGGAGCAGCCCCGCGCCCGCCGCCCCCGCCGCTCCGCTCCGCGGCCGAGGAACCTCCGCGCCGCTCCGGCCCCGCTGCCTGCGGTGCCCTCCCCGCAGCGGGGAGCTGAGGGTATGCCCGGGGGGGCGGGGGCAGATTGCATCTCCCCCTTTTTATAGCCTATGCGTATTTATTTTTACATATGTGTGTGTGTGTATATATAGACGTATATATATAAATATATATGTCTATATATATTTGCATCATTCTTAGGAGCCATTTTTAAGTTGGGGGGGCGGCGTGTGCGTGCGGCCAGGCTGCCTGGGGAGCCGGGGCAGGCAGCGAGCGGTGCCCCCCGCACAGCGGGGAGGGCGGCGGGGGCTCTGCGGGGACACACACAGGCTCGGCTGCTCCCGCCGCAGCTCTGCCGGGCGGCCGAGGGTGGGAGGGCGACTGCAATTTTAATTTTTTTCAGGACGATACGCATTTCTGTGGGAAACTTCTGTAGGCGGCGGAGGGGGGCGGGCGAGGCGCGTGGCGTGGTGGGGCGCACCCCGAGCCCCCCTAGGGCCGTGCCTGCCCCCGTGCCCCGCTCACCTGGGGGACACAACACCTGGGCGGTGCAGGGGCCCGGCCGGGGCTGCGCTGCTCGCCATGGGGGGGTTACCCCCTACCCCCCCGCCCCGGGCCGTGGCTTCTGCAATGCGGTGGGTGTGGTTATGCACGGAGCACATCGCAGCCCCGGACCGCTGCAGTGGCAGCACCGCGCCGGCCCCCTCCCGGCCGGCAGCGAGGGGCCCCGCCGGGCCGGGCTGCCCCGCTCCGCTCCGCCCCGCGCCGCACGGATCGCGCCTCCCTGCCTGCCCGACACGGCGCCGGCTCCCAGGTGCTCGGCAGCGCGGCTCGGACGCTGGAACCCCTCACTGTTCCCCATCCCTACTCCTGGCCCCGCGGAGCGCGGCGTGGAAGTGTCGGTGCTCGGCCAGGTCTGTGGGGAAAGGGGAATAGAGAAGCTGCGGGTGCGACCAGCGTGAGGGCTGAGCGGGTCCGTCGGTGCTCCCGCATCCTGGGTGCGGCCCCGCGCACTTGGGCTGCCAGAGGGGGACCGGGGCGGGTCGGTGGGAAAGGATTTTGTCCTTTTCGGTTGTCCCATTTTTTATTCAAAGGCAAAACTTCATCACATGTAGCGAGAAGCTTAAACACTTGCACTCCTGTGGAAATCGCAATAGCAAATCATCCCTGTCTGGCCTTGTGCTGTCTTGATTTTATTTCTCTTGGGACTGTGCTGGAGGAGGAAAGCGGTTGTTACTCTCACCACTGTTCTCCGGTGTGTGTCCCTGTTTGAGACAGAGATGGAAACTGTTTCCTCCACTGAACATGCACGTTGCTTCGAAGTTGAAGGGAAACTACTTATAATGTTAGAGGTCTTTTCTGTCAAAATGATTGAAAGTCAGAGACCTGCTTGCCAAAAAAAAAAAAAAAAACAACCAAAAAAAAACCTGAAAAAAGCTCCGGGTTAGGTGTGTCCCATGCACATCTGTTCTTTTACAGCCTGGTGAGTTGAGTGATACCTTTTTGTTTTACTTTTAGTGTTGTCAGCAATTATCTCTGTCCATAGAAAACTGAAGGGTTTGTATAAAGAAAGCAAGTATTACTGAATCCCATTAAAAATAAGAATATAAGCAAACTACATAAGGCTTGGACCAGTAAAGGTCAGATGCAGTTGAATGTATGCTTTTTCTCTAATTCTATGGAGAAGAGTCCTTTCACAGAGTATTAAAAGGTCAAGATCATCATGCAGCATCAATGATGTTGTTAAATTCACTGCTCTTGCTGCACCTCTGAGTGTGTACATGCATAATAGAGTATAGGCAAATACTGCTATGCTGGTCTCCCTGGGTTGGAAAGTTTCAGCTCTAGTGTGAGGATGAGACCTGCATGGCAATCAGGGGAGGAGAGGAGAGCCTGAGAGCACTGCATTAGGGTAAGAGCTGCTGGAAGTTTATTCCTTATGGCACTGCATGAACACGAAGGCTCCTTGAGCTGCTGGCATGCTGTAGACCTGCTTGCTGCAGCAGGGAACACGACACACATCGGGAAACATTAAAAATACACTGGTTCTATTTTATCAGACCAGTACAGCCCTGGCCTCTCCCCTCACTAATTGCCTGCAGTCGCATCCCTCTGTTAGTGGTGCAGCTGATGGCCTTTTCTCCCCGAAGGATTCCCCATAGGATGAGGAGCTGCTCGGATGCGCATCAGGAGCTCATCCCATGGGAGCCCGCTGCTGCGGTGGGCAGGTTTAGCCTTGAGGAGGAGCTGCGGGGGAGGGGGGGTGCAGGGTGTGGCACCCATCCCCAGCCTCCCCCTGCGCCTCAGCTTGGCGGCTCCTCGCTGGGCAGGGCTGTGTCTGACTGCTGGAGAGCTGCACCAAAACTGGAGAGGGTTGGTTTGGGTTGGGGCTCTGTTCTCTCTTCCGAGAAGGAACAAGTGAAGGTGAAGCTACAACTTACGTAATTTTTCATTTAATCGGGATGAAGTCTTTTCTTGTCTGTAGTGGAAACCTGCTGAATATTTAGTCTTTAATGAGAAATAATTGCTATTCAGAGATTTTTCTTTGAAATCTGGGAAGGGATAGGTGATAGTAGATTTGTCCCACAGCAGCATGGTCGCATCTATGTTTGTTATGTTTGTTGTTTGATGTGTGCTTGTGAGTTTCATGGGGGTTATGCATGGTTGTTTTCTTAAAATATGTAAGATGTCACTTCTTTGTATTTCAGGCATGATTTTGAGTTAACAGAAAGTTCTTGAAATGTGTTAAATGTGTTATTCACGGTGGGTGACATTCAGACTTGTTTCATGGAAATCTCATGTACCAGTAAATGACTGCTTGTTGTCTGAGGGAAAACATCAAACCATTTATAAGTGGTTATAAAAGACTTCTTGTCTCTCATGAGATGAAGCATCAGCTTTATTTCTTGGGCTACAGCGTTTTCAACACAAAAGTGTGAAACTATGTGACTTTGTCACATCAAAATACATCCTTGGCTGAGAATCTCTGTGTGTTCTGTGCATGTTTAATATAAGTTGGGCTTTGAAAACAAAGAGTCAGTCTATGCAGGAAGGGCTGTTGTGAGTCTGCAGGATTGTGTTTTTTCAATGTGTATAGCATGGCCCTAGGATTTTGTGGTTTAGCATCTTATTTATCACATATTTACAGGAAATATTTTATGACTGCAGTGTTTGAATGTTCAAAGTGTTTTGTTGAAACAAAATTTCTCTCTAATCAAGTGAGTATAAATGCATGCATATAACTGAAAAATATGATTGCTGTCAACTAAGCTGAAAATTAGACTGAAAAAGTGTTTATTCTGGATGATGGATTGCTTCTATTTTGTACAAAAGTTGTAGAGTATAAGAGTGTTACCCAGAACTAGACTTAAATAAGCATCACTAAGCAGTTTGAGTCAGTAGCATAAAGGAAGTCTTTAAAAGAGATGAACCACTGGAAGAATGATAGATTAGCTAGCTTTTATAGCATGTTTCTCTAAATTTTCAGTCTCCAGTGTTAGCCATTTATAATGGCTGGGGAATGGTCCAGGTCTAAATGAGTATATGGACACATTGCACTGCCTCTCTCAAAAGCTGGCTTGAAACACCCAAAGAGAAAGGCTTGTTTTCTTTGGGAAGATCTCCATTTCTTAAAGGGAACAGCCCAGGTAGTGGAGAAGAGGAGCGTAAGCACTTTCCGTGGGTTTGGTAAGAGAAAACCTGCAGGCCCTTTGCTCCCTCCCCTGCCAGTCTCAATTGTTGTCACCATCACTATCAGTGCAGAGGAAGCTCCGGAGGATTGCTGAGGATGAGTACCTCTGGAAAAGCAGAAATGGGTCAGTATTTGGGACAACTGAGTTAATCTGAGACAGTGTGCTGTATAGACAGCAAAATCAGTATCTCCTGCACCTTTCCTAGTAATTGATATAATGCAATTTGAGTAATTGTCAGCTTTTTGTCTCTGGGGGAAAATGAAATCTTTAAATTTTACTTCATCTTTGTATCAGCGGAGCTGGCTGTTCTTGAATAAAGTGGGTAAAAGCAAAAATGAAATGATATTCTATTAAATCATGAATCTATTTGCATCCTATGGGATGCAGTATATGAAAGAGTATTACATAAATGAAAGTTAAAAAGCACACAGAACAAAAAAAACCAAAAAAACTGGGGGGGGGAGAAGAGCTTTTCTACAGAGACCTCATCAATTTTTACCTTTTCCTTTATAGATCTTGGAAATACTTGGTGTGCCACAGATAGAGACTCCTTTTAAGTGGCTTCACTATCTATCAAAACTGATCTGTTGGCAAGCTGAGAAACAAAAGAAGTACAGAAATCTGCATGAGGATCACCCACCAGATGTTTGATCCCATTGAGAAAAGTCTTTCAGTTTAAAGGGTTAAAGAAAAATGTGGAAACTGGGGACTCAGAGCATGTGTTGGGGATAAAGGGCTAGAATAAATGGAAAGCAGATGTTAATATAAAAAAAATATATTTTCAGGAAGGGTAAGGGAATGTGAAGAGAAAAAAGCAGGATACAATTTTGAATACCTGCTCATGTGTGGGTATTTGTATGAAACAGATGTTTATTGGCAAATGGGACAGGGGGAAGCATTGCTCTGTCACAGCATTGCTCTGTTATGTGAGCCTTGGGAGAAGAAAGCTCCTGTGTGAAATAGAGAATGGTTGATGATTCTAATTTAGGGCTATGTTAAATTTGGGACTGCCAAGGTGTAGCATGTGCCCATTGCCTGGCTTTTACTGCAGCCTTTTTCCCATAAGGAAGGAGTTGTTTTTTTGTTCCCAGATGGGCTGCAACTAGCACGTGAGTGAATAATTTGAGGTGGCAACAGCTGACCCTGGTGGGTTTTTGTTTGGAGCCCTGTGGATGAAGAGTGGGATGTTCATGGGATAGAGGTAGGGAAAACACCTGGCCCTGTCCATATCAGACCAGGGCAAGCTGCACACTTAGGCCTGTGGTTTTCTTCTGCTCTGTAGTCATGCCTTGCTCCTCCAGTTCAGGCTCTTCCCCATCACTCCCCCTGCATGTGCCCTTTCCCTGGCTGCAGTCGCTGGAGGGGTCC